GGGCCAGGGCCAGGGCCAGGACCAGGACCAGGACCAGGACCAGGACCGGGGCCAGGGCCAGGACCAGGACCAGGACCAGTACGAGCACCAGGACCAGGACCAGGACCGGGGCCAGGACAAGAACCAGGACAAGGACCAGGACCAGGAAACACCAACAGCTGGAGACAAACCCGCCCAGGAGCCAGGAAGGGAACAGATCTGGTCCAGACCAGAGCACTAGACCAGGATAGACCTGGTCCAGACCAGACCAGACTCAGAGGCTGCTTCTTGCTGAGCCCAAGGTCACAGAACATTGACTGGGGGGGGGGGGCATCTTAACAGCCGCCATCTTGGATCAGGGTTTTCCAAAGGGAAGGAGGATGGACTGCTGTTTTAAAGCTACAGAAACTGGTGAGACGCTGCCTGTGATCACAGCTGTTTGCCCCATTTTTCTTTCTGTTTCCTGTGACCTTTGACCCCTACCACTGAGCTGAAGCGTTTTGGATCAGGGTGAGAGCAGACCAAACAAACACAGAATCACTTTCAGTTCATCGTAGACCAGCTTAAACCCTAAAAACCGATTCGTCTCATCAAAGTCTGAAAGCAGAAGCAGAGCAGGTTTCCCCAAAGCCTTTAAGCAGAGCGGGGGGGCAGTTAGAGAGGACCAGCTGACCACTGGTTCAGAGGAGAGTTTTCCTGTTTCATGGCCACACATGCAGTTAGGAGACGTCTGCCCACATGTAAAGAGGCTGAAAACAGCTCAGGAGCTGCAGCTTCAAGACAGGATGAGAGTTAGAGAGCGTCTTTAAAAGACCGACGCCTTCAGCGGGCCGTTTAAGCTCTGAGGCAGAGCGGGAAATGGAGGGCCTCTGGCCCCACATGATCCCGGTTAGCTGGGATGTGCTTTTTAGGGCTCAGTCTCATCATCCTGTTTTGATTTGGAGTTAGAAGTGACAGACGAGAGGAGACGGAGGACTGAGCAGTCGGGTCAGACAGCAATACCTGGAACACCTGTCCTTGAATGTCAGGTGCAAACGTGGTCTCCAAAGCCTGATTTTTGATTTTCAATTGAACAGAAGGGTTATTAAAGAAATCTTAAAACAAAAAAAAAATGTTCCTGTAACAATTGTGAGCTGTGTTACTCTGACGAACACACACAGAAATGGGGGATGAGATGGTGGTGATCCACACAGGTCAAAAGCACATCTGTGAACTTTAGCTTTTCTCTCATTCATGTTCAGGCTGCCAAACGTTACCGAGTCCTGGATGTTGAAGGTGACCCGCGGCCCGGGGGAGGAAGCGTCCACTCGGATGTCCGGGAAGTCGTCCATGTCTCCGATCCTGGAGCTGGAGACAGAGCAGAGCCATGAGAACCAGCCCAAGCCCAACCGTCCTCTCCTCCGCTCCCTTTCCCTCTGAGTTCAGTCTCAGTGAGCACCGTAAGAACGTTTAAGGCGCCTGTGGATAACAGACCCACGCTTTTTTAGCCAAAAGCCATAAAAAGTTAGTGTTCTGCACCAGTGATCTGAAAATAATCCACAAACATAAACCAAAATATAAAGTTTTTTTCTTAGTTCAGTGTCTGGACCATGTTCTACCTCTCCAGTTCCTCTGGATGGCATTTCTCTAGTTCTACCCCACAGAGGAACCTCTGAGTGATTCTGACTCTCAGACTGAAACTGTTTCCTGCCC